CATACTCAATATATTTTTTTATATAATATAATATATCGAATACGAAAGGAATACATAATTTGTTTTTAATAATATAGTTTCTACTTTTTAGTAATAGTCTCTTGTGCTATTAAGGCGAGGTTTCAAAATTTTTTTTTAGATAAGAGCTAACGGAATGTAACAATTTTGAAAATTAAAGCTTGCGGGCACGCATGAACCTCAGCGAGATTTTTGGAGCTGGATCTACGCCACTTTCGCGTGTTACCGATGCATTTATATCCGACTTTATTCACAACGTGCACAACGCGCGCGGTGAAACATACCAAAGAAACTTGGCACAAACATCTCGCAAACGTGCGACATCGAGAGAAACGTGTGCGTTAGTAGACCCGTTAGTATTTTCAATAATAATACATTCGCTGAGACGGCGTGCACGCTTATTCCTACGGTGACCCATATCTCAAGCGATCTACACACATACGCACGCATCAACGTGCATGCGTAACTGCGTAGGTGCCTCGCAGGCAGATTACGCATGAACGATAGAACGTGCGAAAGGCCGTCTATTGTTGACAATTGTATAGATCATAAATAATGTCTGACCGTTTGAAAAACATACCACACCTTTGTAACTCTAAAAGAAGCGTTAAGTAGGTGGCATATTTTTCATCCCATTGTGTTCTCACATATTCTTAGTGCACGTTCATCTTTTCTTATCTATCGTTCTTAAAATATAAATGGAACATTCTTATAAAGCGTTATTATCGACTTTAATAAATTAATAATCTGTCACGTAATAGGAATTAATTAGTAAAAAGAATAAAATTATCTTTTTATATTACAAATAAAATAATAGCCGACGATGATACTGAAAGATTCTTTTTTGTAAATAAATTCTACAAAAAGTTATTATAAGCTATATACAAGATATTGATTTATGCTAAGAATTAGAAAAAATGCAATATTAATTGACGATAGAGATTGAAAACTCTCAGATAATGTTGCAGACAATTACAGAAATTTCCGGGATGTCATTGCAATAAAAATAAATGAGTTAAAAATGACACGCAATACTTCTTTCAGATAACATTGTAATAAAAAAATCGATGTTATCCAATCAGTATTGCGTATCACTTAAAAGGTGTGATCGTACAAAAAAACAATAAATTTTCATAATATCCAAGTAAAACGTAATGTGTGTGTGTGTGTGTGTGTGTGTGTGTGTGTGTGTGTGTGTGTGTTTCGAAATATACATATTACAAACACGATGAAAAATGATTTTCTTCAATTTTCTCCATAAATAAATGCTAATTGCTTTTCATTGCGGTGCATCAAGATGTATTTTTTTTAATTAATAAATTCATGCATTATTTTTTAATAATGCGTGATACACCTGATTTAATTACGGAACCGTTTATCGTGCTAAATAATTTTCGCGTGCATCGAACACAATTGCATAATTGGTGCTTACTGTCGCGATTCGCACGAAGAATTTCTTTTCAGGTGATCGGTGTCACCAACATCATGCAAGCCATTTCGAGTCACGAGATTATTATATTTCCGAGAATTCTATCCTGGAATTTCCGAGATATTCTACATGTATTTGAAACTGAACTAATCAACTTTATAAAATAAAAACTGATGAAGTAATAAGCAAATATTCTGACATTCTAAATTTAAGAAATTTATAAAAAAACAAAGTTGATTAGTTTTGCTTCTGAGAGAAACATCTGTTGAGCGTGTTTATTTAAAAATTTAATTAAAAGAAAGTATATCGTTTAATTTAGCCCGACTTTTTTTATCGCGTGTGTTAAATAAGAGAATATCTGTGTGTCGCTTAATACTTAAATTTATATTTATATTTATATTTGTATTTATATTTATTTATATACAGATATGAAGTTTAAATAGTTACTTCAAAAATTACATTTCTCTGCTGATCTCTTTCCACCTTGGAAATTACTGTACAGAATGAAGTTCTGACTCAGCTGTGCACTTTGAATTATATGCGGAAGCCGCACTGGCGCAAAAGCGACCTTGAAAATGCAAGTAGTTTAAGATTTATTTTTTATACTGTAAACAAAAATTTTTTAAATTCGTGCAAATTTTTATAAGTAATGAGATAAATAAAACCTATCTTTTCGAGAGAGTTTTGTTTTTAACATAAACGTGATCTGAAACATTTATATCGAATATTCATACCGTTTTTTAATTCCAAAAAAATTATTTATAAAATTTGGTTCAGAATTGAATAGTTAATAATTTTACAGAATTTTTAGTTATTTAAAATTATTTTGTAAATGTCTCAAAATAGATAACTGTTAAAATTGTTTAAAATATTTTACTACACAAATATTTTTACAAATATTTGCGAATATTATATTTGAATTATGCTTACGAAAAAGAACACAAGTAAAACGATGTAAAACAAATGTGACTCACTTGCAATATTAAAACGGATTAGGTAGATAATAAAATTTATTATTTTATTAAAACAGATTTGCGCGCGCTATCGCGTGCAATGTGATAATAATTATCGGTCAATCTTATCACGAAATCATATTGAGTCCACTCTGTAACAAGTGTTTGCATTACAATACTACCAACTAATTATAGATGGACTTTAAAAGCTTTATTGAAAGACTCATTGCAAACAATTCCATGACATCAAAGTTAAAAGTGATATCGCAATTCTAAATAAATATACGTACTGCAAATTTAATTTTATAAAAATAAAAAGAACATTCGATGCATTATCCATTATACTTTCAAATATGATAAATTTTTTTTAATTTTTATAGATATAATCTTATTTTATAACATTTTTATAACGTATAAATATTCTAATTTTTTAAATACTTTACAACAATTTATCTCTAATTTTTCAATAAAGAATTTATTAAAATAAAGGTTAGAGTAAAAAAATTGGATTTCATCATTTGCAGGTGATTATAAAAATATCATATAAGAAAGTTATGTCAATCGTGTGTTTTGTTTCTCGTAATAAACATACAATAAACATACAATAAAATGTCAACAAAAGTTATCACAAAGAATAAGTATTTTTAACATAATTTACCTAAATTATAGGATATTTATTTAAATTAAAGATTTTTTTTACACATAACAATGTAAAAATTTAATTATCTTAATAAAAATCTCCCGCCCTCCCCCTCTCTCTCTCTC